AATTGTTGCATAGTCATTGTACACGGTTTCTTGATGCTCATCGTTTGGCTAAATTTGTATATGACGTTGCCAGATATATTGATGAAAGTCTCAAATAGTTCACTATCTCTCACGCAGCGACGAAATCAACTGCGTAGAACAAAACGAAAATATTAAAATTCAGGTAATTCTCACGTTTGTTATAATAATAGTCGTTGCTGTCGTATGAAAACTTCACGGTGGCAATACCAACCTCTTCTATAACTCTTCTAACAATAAAGTCAAAGAGAATGTTATATAATAATGGTAATGATATTCCACCTTGTACAATTTTCATTTCTATCACAAAACTGTCTGATAACTCGCCATCAATCCTGACTTTTGTTTTCAAGTTCTTATAAAGCATTTTAGGCTTGCACAAGAATAGTACTCGTATAATAGCAAGAAATATGGTCTCAATAAGAAGATTTCCGATAGTGTATTCAGTTTTCAGGAATAGCCAGCCATTATCCTACTTAGGAAAAGTTAAATCCATGTTTCAATACTTCAATCTTTGCTCATCCAATATGTAGGCACAAATAAACGCAGAAAATAAATGAATTCAAAAAGAATGGGTTTTGAACAATAATAGAACGCTGTGATTGTATTAAAACACTGCATTTTATCAATAGTAACGCTGTTGAGATGATAGATTTTTATCGCTGTAAACCAAAAATATTTGAAGAGCCGTGTTTTGAAGTTGACTTTGAAAAATGTCGCAATCATATCGCTTGGACGAGAAATAAAAAAATTGAATAAATAATGCATGATAAATAAAATGTTTATATGTAATAACTAAAGAGTTCCAAAAATGCCATTGCTTTGTTATATCATGAAATGAATGGAAAAAATTTCGCAAAAGATAGCAGCTTTTTTTTTTCATTTTTAGATAATTTGTGGAAATCGTAGAGTTTCTTCAACCTTCTTGCATAAAGAAAAATGTTCTTTGAATGAAAATATAAATGATTTTCGAGCTTGCTGTTAAAAGATCATATCTATCATTTCAATAGCCAGTAATGGTGGAAAATGGCTATGGGTGTAGCTGTCTTTTTCAAGAACAATAGCACCCATCCACACTCACCCAGTATATGTCGAGTCAGTTGAAACTACAAAAGTCTAAATGCAAGTATCAAATGATAAGTATTTACATTAGCTTGTAAAATAAAAATAAAGTCACACCTCTTGTTTTGTTCTTCCATAAAAACCTGACCATTATTGTTAGATGTCATTTCTTCGCTTCGAAAGGAATATCAAACAACTAAATTTTCTCTGAAAACCAAAAACGTTTTATATCAAACTATTATCGATCAAAATAATCTTCATTAACATCGATTGCTACATTATACATAATTTAATCATAATCATCAAATACTTGGTTTTTTATCAATGTTCCACAGAATGCCTGAATTATATGATATCCCACTTACAAAAGTCATTATTAAAGATTTCTTTAATCGTGGGAGATGGTATTAATTTAATATCACCTATATGTGAAAATATATATCGAAATTTCTTGCTTTGAGGCTTTTTATTGATGTATATGGGTGATTTCGCCGGAAATGGGACACCTTTACATGGACTTCTTTCAAATCGAATTTCAATACGATATTCGCGTAGAGCATAGCCGATAACCTTACTTTGGCGATAACAGATCCTCTCTATCTCGCTTCTGAAAAATCACGAAAAATCCACCTGAAAATTGGTCAAGTTGAAAGCAATTGTATTCATTTAAGGATATCAGTTCCATGTTAAGAGTGAGTTATCTACATTTCTATATCAGCGAATAGAGCATGAAAAACTGATTCTAAAAATATGTTTCCTATGCTTCATTTGCTGTATTATAAGTGAACACTGTAACTCGAAACGAAACGATAAGGTACCAAAATGTCCATGGATATATCTCATCAACGCAGAATTTAGGCACGTGATGGCATATCAGGTTTTGTAGAGCGTCACTTGTTCTACAAGGCTATAGAGTTAACATTTCACGGGACATCGAAAAAGGCATCCAATTCTCTCAAGAAAGGTTAAAATATACCAATTTTCGTCAAAAAATGGCATTGTCACTGTGTTACGACATATGCTAACCTTTTTTTGAAAGAATTAGATACCTTTTTCGACGCCCCGTGAAATGTTAACTCTACAGCCTTGTAGAACAAGTGACGCTGTACAAAATCTGATATGCCATCACGTGCCTAAATTCTGTGTTGATGAGATATATCCATGGACATTTTGGTACCTTATCGTTTCTTTTCGAGTTACAGTGTTCACTTATAATACAGCAAATGAAACATAGGAAACATATTTTTAGAATCAGTTTTTCATGCTCTATTCGCTGATATAAAAATATAGATAACTCACTCTTAACATGGAACTGATATCCTTAAATGAATACAATTTCTTTCAACTTGATCAATTTTTAGGTGGATTTTTCGTGATTTTTCAGAAGCGAGATAGAGAGGATCTGTTATCACCAAAGTAAGGTTATCGACTATGCTCTACGCGAATATCGTATTGAAATTCGATTTGGAAGAAGTCATGTATAAAGTGTCACATATACGATGGAATCACCCATATATGAATATAATATATTACGCTCGTCAAAATAAAAAATAATTTGAGTTTTTTTTTCTCTTATCTTGTGCTTATCGATGTTTTTTTTTCAAGCATGAATATGTTTCGATGTTATTTCGTATGCAGTCTTCACTAATGTACAAATCACTGAAGCAAATCGTTTCTTGCATAACGTGTGCATTTTGTCTAGTTACGCTCGTGAAAGACGAAAGAAAAATTAAAAAAAAAAGGCGTAAGAAATATATAAAAGTACCTTGTTGGAAAAGGAAAAAAGAATCATTCGCAAAGCCAAGTGAACAGTGTTATATAAATATTACCAAGCCAATATCGATAGGAAGTTTGCATCAATTTTTTTCAATACATTGCTGTTACTGATTTTTTTTTGTGGTGCACAATGTATCTGAATAATTCTAACAGTAGAAATCATGTCGTTATATAATCATACATATTGCCAATCCTATTTGTATCTTAGGTACGATTTAGATAGATATGAAATTGATCTTGATGATCGATCTATACATATTTTTTCTGATAGTGTTTTTGATTCACTTTGCTGTCTTCCTCTCGCTTATATTAATGACTCAAGTTAATTTCAATTCATGGATGATTTTTTAATATTAGATATTAAATTTACATGCTATTTGTGTCATTACTATAGTATCATGTTGAGCTAATTAAGAGAAAAATATTGCACAATCAACATAATGTAACTAAAGTTTTGATCATAACAGACATAAAAATGCTACCGAAACAGTAGTTAAATGTTCATATCGACCATGATGAAGATGAAAAGATTTTCTTGTTCCAGCCCTGTTTTGAGGCCAAATTAGAATGATTCGAATCACCTAATTATGAAAACAAAAACAGAGGTCTGAAAATCATTAGACCATAGTATAAGATATCAACATGAAGCCGTAATATTTTCTGTCACACGAGGAAGCGTAAGGATGATGTTAGCTAATTTTATTTTGCCAATCTCCTATGAGAAAAGTCACGACGACTTTCAGATTGACTGACATTTTTACATGTAACGTTTTCGCATCAGATTAGTTTTTTCCTGCTTTTTTTTGTTCCTAAGGTAATAATCCTTTAATTTTTTTAAATATGAATGATCCTTCTGAATTGGACTACTTTTTTTTATTCATGTTTTGTGACACTACAATATGAAATTCATGAGATAGAAAAGTTTTACATTTTTCATGGAAAATATTTATCCGTAAGGCCTGCTAAGATATACCTTATTTTATTACTTAGGATAGTCCAAAAGATTTGGCCATGGCTTTTAAAGGACCTTGCCGGATAAAGTAACCTATTCAAAAATGAGAAACCAAATATAGCATGCTGTAGAGTTTTTTTGAGGTGCATCGAATGGAATGTAGTAAATTCTGCTTCGATAAGATTTTGAAAGAATTAGAGCCAATTTACTGATAGACGACTGCGAATCCATACTCACACTTATTTGCATCCACATCCACAAGATGACCAGAGAGGGTACTTATGAGATTGTAACCGTCAAAAACTATGCAAAATCTTTTGTGAGCAAAATATTTTATAAACGCTTTCAATTAACACTAAGAACCACAATATTCATTAACCGATCATGGATAAATAAAAATAAATGCGGAAACTTCGGATTTAAATCCGAGAGTTATGTGTACTTCAAAAAGTGAATTAGACAGATGAGTCATCCTAGAATATGTGGATANCTGCCAATGTAGGCGTACTATAGAGAAAATTCACTAAGAGCTCGATATCTCCTCAGAAACAAGCCAGAAACCCGAACTTTTTTTACCATAGACATAGCACACTATGGGCTACAAGATGCGCGAAACCCCGATTGAAAAGCGCTCCCGCACCTTGGAAGGTTCCCTAGTAAGTCTTGTGTAGATCGAAGGAGAACAATTATCTTCATTGAAGATTCCATTGAAAATCAAAATTTCATGAAAAATGCTTTCAAAATTTTATTTTCGAACCCTTAGGCAAGAAATCAACTGCTTGGTCAATAGTTAATCAATTAAATGTTCATCTTTTTTGATAAAAAAAGAATATCTTTTTACATCTCAACGATGAAAACTGCAGATCTCTATCTTGTTTCTATCAAAATGTATTGAAAAAAAAATCATCATCTGCTATATATTTTGGCGTCGATAGTAGAAAATATTCTTTCTATTTTGTAATTAATTCTCTACGAATATCGACAAGTTCAATGAATACAATGAAAAAACAAAACAATTACAAAATAAGAATTATTTTAGTTAGTTTTTTTTTGAAATAGATTGATTCAAACAAGTGAGAATTTCAAACTTCATAGCAATATTCAATATTTCATTCTACAACTTTTTGTTCAATTAATAACGAATAAGACATGTTTGGATGATTTAGCATTGAAAAATTTTCGAAATGTTGTCATGGATCTATCATTTGCTCTATTCGAAAGACAAAAAGAATTGATTGCATCATTAAATGAATGTCCATTAGATGCACGTGATCTATCGATAATTCTCGATGTTATTAATGTTTTAACAAACAAAACAAAACAATCTCAATGGTCTGAACTACTTCTTACACAATTGAATACTATTTTAAGCGAGAAATTTCCATTGACAAAAGACATGGTTGATAATGCTCATGTTCATTTTGATATGATTTCTGATGAACAATTAATGAAATTTATGAATTCAAATATTAATCTTGATTGGAATCCATTACCACATGATTCATTTAATCAATTCATCGAAACTTTACCAGCTGAATCTGTTCCTGATACAACCAAATATGAATCATTTACTTGTCTATGTGATATACCATCTGTACATATACAAACACGTGCTAAACTTTTCTATTTATTTAATATTTTCATCGGAAAACTTTTACCAATGATTGATTTAAGTTTATCACCAGGCACAAGTATTCTTACGGATCGAATGCGCGCATCACGAAATTATATATTATTTACAACGAAATATCACTTATTTCATGATGCATTAGCTGCAACTTGCTCAGAATCATCTCAAGAAGATATAAAATTTGATACTGTAAAAGCAAGTCTTGGTGAGCATCCGGAAGATACAATGTTCTATCAAGCCTATAAACAATTGTATTCTAATGCATCTCGAACATTTCGACGAACAAATGATGAACAAGCTTGGTCGGCTACTTTTGTTGGTATGTATAGTACTGATCGAGGTGGACCTTATCGTGATTCAATAACACGCATATGTGCTGATCTATGTAGTACACGATTATCATTGTTTATTCTTTGTCCTAATGGACGAACAAATAGTGGTTCAAATCGTGATCGATGGATTCCGAATATTTTTCCACCGAATCGACCCATACCAGATGAATACAAAAATCAATATCGTTTTGTTGGACAATTAATGGGTTTGGCTATACGTACGAAAAATTTATTAGATATTCGATTACCAATTTTACTCTGGAAACAATTAGTACAAGAAAAAGTTACAATCGAAGATATTGAAGCAATTGATGTACAAAGTTTTACTATTATCAATCAAATGGAAGAAAATATCAAACAAGTAAAAAGTCTCAATGAATATGACGATAGTGATGTAAATAATGATTGTGATTATTTATTCAATAGTGTTATGAGTGAACTTACATTTGATGTTGTTAGTTCAGCTGGACAAACTTATGAACTTATTCCTGGTGGCTTTCATATTTCTATAACTGCGGCTAATTTTGAAGATTATTGTATGCGCTATCGTCAATATCGTGTCAATGAATTTCATCGACAAATTGATTTCATTCGTCAAGGTTTATATAGTGTCGTACCATCGGCTTATTTGAGTCTTTTCACAGCTTCAGAATTAGAAGAAGCGGTTTGTGGTAAAGGTTATATTGATATTGAAATGTTAAAACGTCATACAAATTACAGTAGTGATAGTGAAACTTCACCATATATCGAACGATTTTGGACTGTTTTAAGTAAAATGTTTAGTGAAGATCAAAAAAAATTATTTTTAATATTTGTTTGGGGACGAAGTACGCTACCAAATAGAGACGAAGAATTTTCTACAAGTTTTACAATTACTCGCCTAGATCTAAGTGGTAATATCGATGAAGCTCTTCCAAGTAAATGTTTATTTGAAATTTGATATCTATCATCTAGAAGAAAAGATATGTCAAAGTTATTTAAATAGATTTCAATTATTTAGTTCTAGACGAACATTTGACACAAAAAATCTTTATTCGTTCATAGCAATTTTAGAAGAGCAACTAATAAAAAAAATCTTATAGATAGAATATTAGTTTCTCTAAAATTCTAATGGCTTGATCAGATTCATCAAGTACTCTGCTTTCCGTGCCTTAGTCAAAAAAGAGAATTGAGCGACATGAAAAATCCGGATTTTTCTTTTTTTCATAACAGTATTGGCTAGACAACAGTAATATCTATTCCACTATATCAGAATAATACATGTACTTTTTGAAAAATGGAAACGACGTATTCCCGTACAGTCTGAAGTATAGTAAGACAATTGCGGGAGTAAGTCGATATTTTCTTGAACTTAGTTCTAGGCTTTTCTCAATCTTAAGACTCTACTTCGAGAAGTACGGAAGAGTGTCATCTTGTTCTTGGTTTTTGGACTCATCTTTTCAGATAATCACCTATTTTTCTATGAGCCATTGTATGCATAATCACTAACGACATTTATTCATTATAAATACGATTTCAACTAAAGCTACGTGATTCATTTTGTGCTCTATTGTTTTTAATGTGCTACGCTATCGTGAAACTTTCGAAACATCACTAGTAGGTCTCGTCATCGACACATATTGCATAGCAAACATCGAAGATTTCTACTGCCTGTCAGTAGAGAATATCTTTTTTGTCTTAAAGTTATGTTTTTTTCTTCAAAGTTTATTGATTTTGAAAGCGCAGTATTTCGACGACATTATTATGAATCGAATATTCCTTTTTATAAGTCGATAATTCATGAAGTTTACTAGAAAACTCGTTTTTGAAACTTTGGAATTCCATGCAGCATTTACTTTTGTAATTGATCTAATTAGAAACCGTTACTTCAGTGTTCGACGGAGGGGTGACTAAAGGATTAAGATCTTATCTAATCTTTGCTATCAATAATAATAATAAAATATATAATCCAGTAAATCACGCCTGACTTTTTTAATTGTACTTTAGCAATGAATCTAATTATTTGATTTTTCTTCTAGAATCGCACACATGTTACTTTACTCTTGATTTACCTCCATATTCAACTAAAGAAATTATGTATGAGCGTTTGAATTATGCTATTACGTATTGTTCCAGCATTGATACTGATGGGACCATGAATTAGGTCTTGATCGATATTGATTAGCCAATGATCCATTCAAACTTTACATCGTACCCCATCATTTTATACAAGAATCATGTGATACCGGTTATTTTATTTTTATTATTTCAACGCCTTATTGTAATCAGCTCAATATTATTTGCGATATTCATGTTCACATGAAACCCTTCTTTTTTCTTACTGAATTCAATTTTAGTTTCTTTTTAAATCAATTTATTAGAATAAAAATCAATTGAAAACATATACATAAATGTTACTATGTTTTTTTGACTTTTCTGCTTGGTATAAAGAAGTAAGAAGTCAACATATTCAACAACTGATAAAACTTACTGTCATCCATGAAAACTGTAAACAAATACTCGTGAACGTATCTAGCATAGAAAAAGAGGAAACATAATGATCAATGGAAACCACGCCACGAATCACTACGGGTATCTTTCAGTTGTAGGTGTGGGTATGGGTATAAACGGAAACAGCACCCACACTCACATGAGCAACCTTAATAACGGAAGAAACAAACGTTGACCATTTCATCATTAAGGGGAATAGCTGTTAACACAAAGTTTTTTTTTCTAATTGATATTTAAGTTGATTTTTATTTAAATGTGCAACAAAGCTTAAACGTTTCAAAAGCCAACAATAAATCGAACTAATATTTATTTTCATAAGATCGATTCGAAGGCGACCTTTCGCTTCCAAGAGCGGAAAACAATTGACTAATTTACGCGATCCCACAAGGATATTTCCATGAGATCTCTACCATAAAATACACAAGTGTTTCCAAACGGCGTGAAGCTTTCAGGGTTTGTAGGCGATATTGACTTAAAACTTCGTTAATAAATGCGTACAAATAGAAGATTATATATTGTAAGATTTTTGTATAAATCATAGAAAAAAGGATTTTTTGAAAAAATGAATCTTTAGATTTAAATGCAAAAATAAAATCAATTATATATATGAATATTACGTATCATCTGATTGTTCCTGACATTGCCTACATTTTGACTGTCACAGACTGGTTTTCTCAATACCTTGGTTATATGATTATTTTATTTATACGACATACCCCTTAAATGATCGTATGGTACTCATATGATGAAAAGAGGATGTGAATGTGGATGTGGCTTTGTTCTCATTCATGCCGACACCTTATTCTAATTGGTATAGTGGCTAAGCATCTAACTCTATACGACAATATTTAACAGCAACAATTCAACCCCAACTCGACTTTTATGCTAATTTACGCCATCTGCTAAGCAAGATATTTCGTATCATGAACTATATTATTGTTGTCAGATTTGTGTTTCGATATAGGTTTGTCTCTGCTGCACTATAAAAGTGAATTAAGCAATCTGATAGATATTACTACTTGAGAGTATCAAAACCAAGTAAATAGCTTGATTCGGCTTTTAATTTCAAAGCAGCATCACGACTATATTCTGCAACAAATCAATGAATTCTCATTGGTAGATAAAGGTCAAAATTTTATACACTTTCATTGCGTGTTCCATAGTCGAACAGATTTTGTCGTACGAAGATTTTAATGATAATCTGTCCGAAACAGCTGATAGCATGAGTTTCAACAAGCTCATTTTGGTATAAATATGAGTTTTTGAAAAGCAGTTTCATCTACGACTGCATCAGTGAATACTCTAATAGGCATTAATTCGATGAGTTATGAATATTTGGACATTTGACATTTTACGTGTCCGTATTAAAGAGCTCTGAGTTGCAGATGCACATCAAACTTGCATTTAAAGTAGTACATCGGTTGAAGAGAAAACATACTTTTTTGCTTCATGCAAAGCCTTGATCAAATAATAGTCACTTAATGCATGACATTATATTCTCACTAAGAAGACGTGAACTTAATCTTTATGTGAAACATTTACACATTGTACATCAACAAAAGCAACTGTGAAATAAAGTGAATATCAAACCTAAGGTAAACTCAGCTTTGCTTCAAACTAAAAAATGTCAAAATTACATTATGTCCAAAAGAGCATCATAAAAAGAAAAAGTACAATTCTGAAAGATGTTCGATGAAGATGTTTCTATTACGCAATCAAAATCGACTTATGGAGTACAGGTGTATGGCTGAATAGAAGACATGCACACTCACACATGATTATTGCAAATTATCATACTAGAATAAATTCTCGGAAGTATTTATCAAAATCATACACATATATGAGATTTGATCAATTTTATGAAAGCAGAAGAAATACATGTAGAGAACTTTATACTTCAATAGTCTTTTGGTACATCAACATAGAAAGGCAGACAAATAGCAGCATTACAAAGTCATATAAACAAGAGAATACCAGAATTAATTTTATTTATTGAAGATTTATTAGGCTTTATCAATGATAACCATATTTAAGCACACCTACACTTTAGGCATGTATGTATGTGCTGAGAGATCGTATGGGATTTATGTCAAAATGTTAAGGGATTTACTGAAAAGTCCCAATAAATGCCGAAAAAACAAGTTCTGGTAGCTGCTGGAATAAACACGTTATATAGTCGATATCATAATTATCTGATAACAACATCTGATCTTCTCAACGGTTTGTCTTTTATGTAGCAAAAAAAAGTTATAATTGTACAATAAGAGCATTATTTGAGATCAGTAAGCGAATATCTCGAAGTATATTTTTTTGTCTTGGATTCTTTCTTTTTCAGTAATTAGCATTTAATTTCAATTCATCTACTTCCTGTATTTTTTAATTTTCTGAGCGAGAAAATATTCATCAGTTTTCATCTCAATTTTCGACATTTTACTTTCGAACACATTTGAAACAATCTAAATCTACATTGTGACTTAAAAGCTAAAAGATGACGTTTCAGCATTCAAAATGCTATTCTTTCGTGGTTTTCATATGAAATTCATGAAAATTATTAAATGTTTTTGATCTTGTGAGTCACTGTGTAATGATCTAAAGCAATTGTAGTTTGTTGAAGGTTAAATAGAGACCTATACTCATTCATTCTAATGCTACGCGTCAAGAAGACGGTGCAACGAAAAGATTGGTGCTGTTCATTTTGTACAATTTACTTTAACGAGAGAACATTCTTATCCTAGTATAACTAATGAGTCTGCAATACTCATGCAATGAAAAGGTTTCAGTAGAATATACGTACCGATACTTTTTAATTAGATCATATTCTTTCACTATAAGTTTCTTGGAATGTTTCGGCAGTGTACGAAGACTTTTTCAAAAACATTTGACATACCGTTATATGTTAGTTTAAGATAGAATAAAAATTATGCTTTGTGTTTCAGGATTGTAAATCGTTTCTGAACCGAAATATGCAGAATTCATACTTCAACAATTGTAATTTCATGGTCACAAAGCCCAAACTAGAATATCAAAATGTCTTTCAGAATCTGTGAGGTAGTCAGGAGAAAAGAGGATGATGTCATTTCTCTCAACTATATACTTCAACACTTCCATATAATTGCGCTTCATAGAATGGTGAAACTTGTCGTAATTGAATAAAATATTCGCGAGAGCCATATGGCATCTTGCTTTGTAAAACTGGGACTACTCGACAATTCCAAATATTTCAATGCCTTGTTAAACTTTTAGTTGTACCAAAAGAAAGTAATTTCACTATATTAACGTGATCTGAAACTTTTGACTTCGAGAATGGCCTTCAAGCAATTTTTATGGGTTTTGAAACTATGTAGTTCATTGTGTAGACCTACTTATTTTGCATGAAATTCCATTATTAATTTTTCCTTTGATTAAATAATTTTATCTGAGAAAAAAACTTTTATAAAAAGTTTTGAACTTTCTCCTCACTTCTAGTACGAAACAATAATGACCAAAGAAGTTTGTACCATCCAATAGTTTTAAACTAAAGCATATAACTATTTCGCTACTAGATTGTATTATTAGGAAATCATTTCTGTTTCGCTTGTAAAGTTTTGCAGTAAACAATTTTTCATGAAAATGTTCCAAAAAGTCTTATTAACACTATAAAAGAATCCTGCATTTTTCAAGTATTACAAAACTATTTCAATCGTTTCAAATAAAATTTTGGAACATCGCTCCAATCTACACAAACCAATCACTTTGAAGTTTGGTTAACAATTGCCGAAGATTTTTATGTTTCAGTCCCAAGAATAGTTTTAAAGCCCCTGGCTATATGAAATTTGATTTCTAAACTGCAAAAAGTCGAGCTACCGATTTCTGGTCTAATACGCTAGCAACTTGTGATAGAGTCACTGGAAAATTCTATATATGACATGTGAAGGAGCAAAGTTTACGCGCGAAAACCTTCTCTATCATCAATTCTAAAAATTAGACTTATGAAGGATATTCACGTGGATCTTTTAACCCTTTTCACGATTTTTCCATTACCACAACCACCTGTAACCAAATGCTTAAGTACAACTAGCTTCTACAGTTTTTTTTAATGCATGCCATTATTGACTAATTAGCATCTCCATAGTGTGAAGTGTTCATTTTGATTGAAATTTTCAGCGTACTATGGCTAAACTAAGAACATTAGTTGGTGATAAAAATGAGTGAGAAAGTGAATTGTGTCTAATTAATAAAAATAATTGAAAACTCAAAAAACAACTGACTGAAATAAGGTACTTTGGGTGGTTTTCCACAGTTGTGTACATGATGCTGACCTTTCTTGATCAATCCAATGATGAATATGGATAGGCCATGAAAGCTTGCATTTAATCATCACATAGCCACTTAATTTCAACATTGTTCAGTGCATCAAAAATAATGTAGAGAGCAATGTCCACTCTTGTCCGTTCTTCATTTTGTTCGTTCATCTGGATTTGGAAAGAGCTTTCACAGTTTACACTTCTAACTCGAATCCTTATAGAAGGAGGTCTATGCAAAAAAGAGAGTCAAAGTAATATGACTTGCGGTTCAAAAAGTAGGTATTGGTACACGTGTATGGTAGTGTACCTGTCATTTTCAGAGATTTGTAATAGTAATATTCGTGATTAGCATAGCCGATTTGATATTCCTAGTTACTACATTCGCACCCACTTGCAAGAGAAATACCAAAAGTTGACATGATAACTCAAAACTATTTCATATCATTGATAAACTGGCAACGTGTGCGGTTTAACAGTTCAAAGAAAAAGAAAATCAATTAATGACTGATACATTTATCACACCAAATGTATGTGTCTACTATGAATTAGAAACTTTTAATTTCTTCACTTAGCGGGACCATGAAAAAACTTTCAGCATAATCTCTGTGGGATAAAAATTTGAAACACAACGAATCTGTTTCACTTGTTAAGGAACATTCTACCTATGTTAATCATTTTAAACTTAAAGATCAAATAGACTAATATATCGAAATGCATGCCATTGTCTGTGACTCAAGGAGAAGTTTTGTACACGTTATCTGTCTGTCACAAGTCACGTAGCCGATCGAAGAGAAGAAATGACTTTTCTAACAATGTAACATAACACTGACTTTTCAATCGTCTTTCATACAAGTGACTAAATCTTGTTTTCGAAATACAAACCCTCGAATCCAACAAAGACATTCATCATTTTACATGTTTCTCTACATAACATCCATCTTCAGTGAGAACGAACGTTGAGTTTCGAAAGTCTGTGTGCACACAAAGTAAACAAATAAATTCTTATTGCTTCTAACTTCAGATTCATCTCAACTCGCAATTGATAGATCGAACGAAATGAATGATAGCTTCTTGACTTAATCATGCAACCCAATATTGTTGATGCCGATACTCCTACATCGCTTGGAATGACTATTGTTGAAGATGGTCTTGCAGCAACTCCAGGCATACGCTCATTTCTTACTCATCACCTTAGACAAATATGCAATGCAGGAAAACAATCGATGAAATGCCATCCAAAGGAATGGTTAAATGCATTTCGACTGAATTCAAAATATCCACTCTTTGTCAGAGGCGACATTGATGGCTTTATCGTTCTCTTCATCAACAATGTGGCTACACTATTAGCCATCATTCTAATTACTCAACCAATTTTGGGAAACGACATCGTCTATGGAAAAATGGTTCCCGGGTGAGTCGCAACTAGAGGGAGCCGTAGGATCAGCAGTTACAATATACGAGCGAAAAACCTGAGAGTATTCATTGAAACTAGTATTAGATTGACATAGGAGTACTTTTAGCTATGATCAGTTAGTAAAAACATGCCTTGTTGTTGTAATTAAGTCCATTCTGATGTTCTTAGCGAAAAGAATAACATTTATATTCGATAAGTTTTACCAAAAGAATCTGACATAATTATAGAATGGGTCTGGGTATGCTATGGGGAAACTTCTATTATGTTTATATGGCTCGAAAACTAGCTTTCAAAGAACAACGTGGAGATGTATGTGCCATGCCTTACGGGATTAATACAATGGGTGCCTTTGCGCTCATCTATGCTATTGTTTTGCCGACTTACAATGAATGTATTTTAACTAACAACAAGACTTACTGCCAACAACTAGCATACTACGTAGGTTTGACAAGCAATTTTGCAGTCAGTGTCATTCTTCTTCTTCTTTGTATTGTTGGTGAATTTATCCGACGAAATACGCCGACAGTGGCTCTTCTTTCATCGCTTTCAGGTTTGGGATTTGCCTATTTGGCAATGAACGAATGCTTACCGGTAGTCGCCAAGCCAATCGTGTCCTTTGTCCCATTTTTCATTGTCGTACTTGGATACTTCGGAGAAGGTATGAAGCAGTTTTCTTCTTTTTTTTTTTTTTTTTTACATGTCATACATATTTGCTGAAAAGTTTACATGGTAAACTGAATTTCAAACTCGATTAAATAAGTGCGCTGTAAATTAGAGAGTCAACTGTATAGAAAAAGACTTTCTATGGAAACTTATATTCATTTTCAAACGAATTTCGGTCTTCTAATCGTAATTTGTTACTCAATTTATATGTATATTTTCTAGAAAATTATCTACAATCTCTCTATCGAAGCATTGGTTAATAGTGGAATAGAAATAAAATACAGATATGTTGGTTTGACTACTCAACATAAGCAAATGAAACTGCATGGAACGTTATATTTCACATTTTCTCTGAAGTTCTATGAAGATTTTTCATCAAGATTATAGAAAAAAAACGGAATGTTGAAGCCGATAATTGGGCTTTCGATTTTTGAAAGCGCATCAGAGGCCTTAATCAAAACTTAACTATAGAATTACGAAGGAGTTACAGTTGTAACTTCGTCAACTAAGAGTTATGCATAGTTTACTGCAGTTTCTTAATCAATCATTTGAAGAGCTCTGTTTCAGCTTATCATTATTGAAAATGAAATCGATGTTGTCTCATGATTTGAACACCTTGGATTTTGACAAAACTTGATAGGCAACTAAGGAAACTGTAAACATAACCACTTTTGATCTGATAGCTATTTTACAAGTAAGTAGAACTTGGTGATATTTAGAGAATCTTAAAACCGTTTGTACTTCGGAATTGTTAGTTCAAAAATATAGCTTCTTTGCTGCGTTATTGTGCCTATGTCAAAGTACCGATGGTGAAATCTGATGAAAGTATTTTTATTAAAAATTTTGTTCATGAATAGATTTAACGATTTGTACAATATACTGAGTTTCTCTATCAAAAAAAAATTGTTATGCCAAAATATTGAACTGTCATGAAAGTCTCAATAGTAACAGATCAGTCTTGACAAGGAAGTTTTTTTTTTCAAAACTGAGTACCTTGACAATGAAGCATTTAGTTTTGCTGAAGCTTTTAAGCATATTAGAAACTATGAGATCTATTCATAGAGAAAGATTCAGCCTGAAAAACCTTTATCTTAATTCGTTCTTGATATTTTGCCACAGGGTGACAATTTAGTAAAACGACTGTAGTTATGAATGAATAATCCATAAGTTAGAACGATGCCAGAATTCTCTTTGTATCTGTTCTTGAGCCCTAATTCTCAGAAAAGTGTCAGGTTGAAAACGGCGAATGAGCTGTGACACTTACCTCGTAAGCAGAGAGTTCGTTATAGTTCAATTTAGTGAAAAATTTTTGAATTAGGTCAACACAATGTACTGTAGCACTGTCACTGACACTGGTTGAAACAAAATGAGACACAACAGTGCTTCATTCATGCACAAAATTCGCATGGTTAATACTCTTTGAAATTGGCAAGTAAATGAATGAATAATCGAAGTGATAAACCGATTGATGTATACGAGTTTAGAATAACCTTTTAACAACGAGTCTTCAGCTGATTTTCCGTAAATAATTTTTTGATTTTCTGTTTTTTATTACAAGGAATTCTTCAGGAAATCAAATCAGTTGTCAATTTTTTAGGAAGTTTCTGATTTTGTGTCAACAGAAGTTCCACTAAATTCTATGGAGAGTACCTGAAGGATAGATCTTTTTCTACGCTAATTTCTTATAAGATACAATAGAGTATATATATTTAGTCGGTGAGAGTGACTATTTTTTAGGCCGGTCTAGGTTAGTAACGGAGTGGTTGTTGGTGTGATTTTGAGAATTTTTCATCATTCACACACACATGCACCCGCCGGAGTCCCCATCCACACAATATGATGGTCGCAACGTTTTAAACTCATGATCTTTTCAGTTAGCTTCGGTCCTATTCCAGCAATCGTTGTGGCCCTTGTGACAGGTACAGCCTTTGCTTGGGCCACATCGCTCAACGACGTAAAACAAGTACGTGAAGCGTATCAGCTAATGAAAGCTTACTCAATAAGCTTTCCAATCAGAGAAGTATTCCAACATATTGATGAAGTTCTGCCACATCTTGCAACAACGATTCCTGCGGCTGTAGCGAATGCTGTTATGACGATTCAGTGCGTGGAATCGGCCAGAATAGCTGGAGACTTTTACTCTACTCAAGAAGCCACATTTGCGGATGGAATAGGAACTCTCATTTCTACGTTGTTTGGTTCTATTCTTAGTATGACGAGTAAGGAGTTTTCTTTTCAACGCAAAGTGTCACTAAAGTCTGTTTAGGTTATCTTGGTCACCCTGTGGTGAAAAAGATGGGTGCTAGGCAAGGCTACGCGTTGGTGAATGGTATCGCGTTTCTACCTATTAGCTTTTTAGGTGTCAGTGCATTTATCATATCACTCATTGCCATCGTAGCGGTTCGGCCGATTATTGTAAGCTTTCAGAATCCTCATAATTTTGCCCACTGATAATCACTTCATAGAATGCTAGATGGTAAAGATTTTTATTGCTCAAAACTCCTGTACTGTTCCGAAATCCTAAAATTTGATTGTCAAGAGAAACAGAGTGAGGAAAATGGAAAAGCTCGAATGAAAAAAGAATTCGCCATCTATTATTTCGATAAGTAATTAGGATTGCCATGAGCCCTATTAAACACGTTCGCTATAAATGCACAATTCTTCGCGACTTTGATTTGATGACTTTTCAAGTGCGACTAATGAACATGTACCGAATGAGCATTGAACGACGTAATCGTCAGCTCGAATCGGTTTGCATGAGTTCACAAGTGATGTTAGCATCATTCACTTCAAAAGCTTGGATATAGCACCATAATCAGTTCTAGATGTTAGAAAAACAAGATTCCTGTTCATACAGTTTTTCATTATCGATAAACAATTTGTTTTTACATAGATCTTTATTGGTTTGCTAATATGTGCCGATACATTAGCTATTATTTCTCGTCGTCATTATCCAGCCTTTCTGCTTGGTCTAATGCCAGTAGTTGCCGACTGGGCTCATAGCACTATCGTCGCAAGTGTCTCCGCTGGTTATTCGAATTTCACTGTAGCCAATGTTCGATTCTCGCCCAATGTGACTTCCATGATTTCAACCTTCTCTTATCAAGGTTTGGTTAACTTCTCAGGTGGTTCACTGTTGTTATGCATTGTTATGACGGCTATTTTAATCTATGCAATCGACCGAAAATTTATTCAAGCAGCCGTATGGTCAGTTATTGCAGCTGTACTCTCTCTTTTTGGAGTAATTCATGCTAGCTCCGTGGGTTTATTGATTAAGCCTACCGATGATGGATGGAGATTCACAGTAGCTTATTCTATGATGACAGTTATATTTGGAATCTTTCATTTAGCACAACGAAAAAACTGGATCAAAGCCGCAGCAGAAGAATCCAATGACCTTTCACGTAGTGTATGAATATCGCAAAGAATACGAAAGCAATTAAAGTCATCAGTGTATCATGCGAACTTTTCTCAGGCAAACGATATCCTAAATCTAGAAGTTTTCAATAAAAGAAATCGAATACCAATTGACCTTCGCTTTTTTCATCAACGTGACAGACATAGATTTGGGAACGTTCAATCGTATCAGCAATTGTAGTTCACAATATAATAGACTCTAATGTTTAGAGGTAGATTGGAGAAAATATGCATACAAGACAAAAGAGTGTCATTTTCAATAATTCAAGATTTGTAGTATTGTAAAATAGCTCTATGAAGTATTTTAATTTTTGCACACAGCACATCAAAAGCTAACATGAAAACTATCATTATGAATTCAATTACAGAATGCATGCATGATAAATAGCATTTCTTGGTGATGCAAAAGAATAAGACCAAATATCTTTGAGAACAGTGTCTTCATTATGAAGAAGTGAAATATAATGAAGCTACAACAATAATGACCAAACGTCTTCATCCCGTATATCATGGTGGTTGATGACAGTAAATTATGCTTCAATTCAGAATGCGACTTCTAGAAATAAGAGATTCTAAGAAAATCGATAGGCTTCTTTTTAGCAAATTCCAGACGAATATTACTATCAAGAGTAGTTTAGTCCAGTATCATATTTTTGTGAGAGATTTTCTTCTTTTAAAAATGAAACAACATACAGGTCTGTTGATATATGTATATGATTACGATACTATTAGATGTTTTCTTTCGCGAATAAAATATTAATCTTAGGTAACATCCTGATACACTAGTCATTCGTTTTTGCATGTTACTATAAAGGTCATTTTAAAATACAAATGAGAACGAATTTCGAAATATTTTAGTTAAACTACTTTTTATTAATTGGCTATGCTTCGAGAGTCAAATGTCTAGGTTTCTGACAATTCAGAAAAGGCATTAGTCATTTCTCTCGGACAAAGTATTTTAGAAGATAGATATCTCATCTTCATATTTTATCACTAAAACGTTGTAGAAATTTCAAGTTCGTCTTAGAATAACAAATAACTATAAATGCATCTGAGATTTAGGTACGAAAAACGAAAGAAATGTGGAAGCGTTCTGAACTATTAGTAATTGCAACATATCATATGTGACGAATACTAAGCAGTATAACAGATCTCATCCATTGCTTGTGGTAAATCGAATTCAAAGTAATATGACAAATGAAGTACATCTATAGATCATTGATGAAAAATGATTGAACTAGATATTTTTTTTTAAATATTATGGTTATTTGATTGTCATTTGAGGTGTGGGGTGGATGTTAAGTATAAGTATGAATTACTGAAGATGTAATGAGTATATTCAACCATCAACCACATTCACAATCGGACATGAGACGTATTTGTGTATATGGATTTGAGTAAGATGGATGACTAGTCTCTTTCAAGTTTTGTTGTCCCATGATATCTTTCTCTGATTGTAATAACTCGTCCGGATACCAGAACTGGAAGCGTTATTTAGTAAATGTCATTAATAATTAAACAAATATTTTATATAATGAAGAGGATATCACCCTACTAAGCAATTTGTTTCTAACTATGCTACTAAGAGTAAAATCGTAATCAATTGACATCGAGAAGATTTACAACATAGATTCTTTTTGCTTCAACAATGTTTTTAAACGATTAACTCGACATAGTCAGATCAATTTATTTTTAAGACACTGCGTATAAAGCAAATAATATTTGTTTAGTTTCATTAAGAAAGTACTGAATAGATATGAAATTTCGGAGTAGAAAATATTTTCGAGTATACTCTATGAAATTTACATGAAAGTTGTCTCAACTGTTTTGTCCATGAAGATATCACTTGATAATTACAGAATTGTTAATATTCAGAAACGTAGTTTTGAGATTCTCACTTCTAAAGTTTATCAAAAATTATTCTTAGTACTGTTTCAAAGCCTCATCGAGCTGTGTACATATATACCTCTCTCGTTTTGTTTGTTATTATTAAAACGAAAATAGACAATCTAGGTAATAAAGTTGGGACATCTTTTTTTTTCTTGATTCAAAACATTAAAATTTTCGCTTTTCACTGTAACTTTTTGGCATGTCTGATACCATCAGTGAAGAGTTCAGAAGAAGCTGAGGTCTCTTGTAGTTCACTAAGCATTTTTCAATCTTGTTGCTGTAGATTCTTAAGCTAACTACCTATTTTACTCCACAAGAAAAAAAGAAAACCGATCGCATCATTGCACAAGCTTGATACAGATCAGAAGAAGCAAAAAGCACGAAGTAACAAAACAAATAAAACTTTTAGAATGTATATGAACCACATAAATGATAAGGTCAAATAAGTTAGTTGTTTGCACATGTTAGTCCTCAGATCTAAGAAAAATTATCAGTTATCGATATTTGAGTCAGATGAATGACTACCTATTCACGGCTTCAATCGGAGTTGTTTTATATAATCTTGTAAACGATGAGCCATCCGAGTGACAGCAGTAAGTGACGTTGTAGAGCGACAATTATGAAGAATTGTACGACAAGATTGATCGATCGCTTCGAACTCATTGATAACATTGTCGTATCTTTCTGATATCATCTCTCGACCAATATCAGAGATAGCAATGCTCTTTTTCTCTGAAATGGTCAAAAGCAATTCGATCAGCTTATTATATCTAGCAGCTAAATTTTTCTTTTTAATTTCATCTTCCGATCGAATGGTTTGAGCCACACCTAAGAAAACGATAGAATAAGAGAGCGAAAAATCAAAAACAAAAAAGTTAGCGACTCTTACTATTGATGATTCGGGTCTAAAATCAGAAGAAGCAAATATAAACTATATACGTAGTTAGCTAACAATAGTAACTTACTAAGCGCCACAAACGAAGAGAAATGAACAATAAAGATATTTCGACGAAAATGTTGTCTCTATATATGACAACTAGATCAAGAGCAAAAGAAGAAATAACAACGGTTGCATCAAGCCATTCCATTTTTTTATGATTAATATCCCACCAATGCCGTCCGAACACAAACACTTTGATCACAATTTCGACAACAAACACCGCCAACAATGCCAGAGAAGAATAGTGGAGAACTTCGATAGCCAACTCGATTCGATGATGTCCGTGTTCATTATGTGCAACGGTTTTATTAATATTTCCTGAATCGCACATTTTATTGAACTTGATAAAATCAAGTACGAGCTGAGCTATCACAAGTAAACAATCGATGAGTACGAGCCCAATGATTACAATATGGAACATTGGCTGTTCGATAAATCGAAGTAATTTACGTTGCCATTCATAATGAACATTCCACCATTTGCCAAGTACTGAACAACATCCATTATCAAATTTGAGACAACAGCCTTCATCTTGAGCCTTCACAACATTTCGCTCGATTTTTTCGTCGACCGTCATTTTTGGTTTCGGCAAGAGAAAAGCGATCACTGGGTCAATCCGAAATGATTCGGGGGAGTCATCTTGATTTAGGTCTGGTATGGTTACGTCCATTGATTACTGTTCTTGTAACTTCTGATTTCAGAGCAATGCTCGAAAATTTAGTATCTAATTCGTAAAAATAAGGAAAAAGACGAAAAAAGATACAAATAAGAAGATTGCTTTTGTTGAAACTTTTATAAGGGACATATTCTCATTTTATGAGAATAAGTTGCAGTTAGAACGAGCAATTCTTAAAATAGCCAGTTTCAAGTTCAAGCTACTGTTTTCAAAACTCTAATCTGTCTGAATTTTAATGTCACGTCAATTTCGTAATGGTCAAATAGCACTATAATAAAAAAACCACCACTCCAGATCGAAGTGACTCATCTCGTGATATTATCTTTGGATTATGTTTAACACTAGTATAACATTACTAGCTATCACTGATTGTTACCTGATTAAAATAATGACAAGCCATATCTACTCAATATGCGTGCGACTATGACGAGCAAAATGAAACTCACGTTAGCCATAAGTAATAATAGCACGCAATGCTGGCTATTTTGTATTCGAATCAAAATCAATTCAGTATGGATTAGCTAGCCTTATTTTTAGCACAAGACTTCCATGTAGAAACGTACCCATTTCTAACTTTTTCATAGTAAAGATACTTCATTTGCAGTACTTAAAACTGTCAATTCGGACCAGATCTTCGAGTGACACCCACTCATTTTTGATCCATCTATCTGATGCAACTATCGGATTTGATGGAATACAATAGTTGCATCAGATAGAGCTATTAAAACTGAGTAGGTCTCACTCGAAGATTCGGTCGCTGTTAGCAGTTCTAAGTACCGCAAATAAGCGATCTTTACTACCAAAAAATCAGAAAATGGTATATCCTTAGTTCTACGTTCGTCATTGTATAGAAATTTTAACAACACTCAGCTATGTTCTGCATGCTCATTCCATTTTATCATTAGTAGTACTGGCTCATTGATAGACTGTCTTCATAGCCTCAACAACTATGCGGTAACATATGAAAGTAATATTTCTCGGTATGGTATGCATTGTCTGTTGAAATCGTACAAAACATCCTCAGTAGAGTATTGAACAAAAACAGATGGAACCTAATTTCAACTCTTCACGATCAAATCTTGGCATGTTGACAAAGCATAAAATTATCATAATCTTTATAACACCTGTATATTTGTAGGCGCGAGGGTGCATTAATTTTTGTCGATAATTGCTATATTCGATAGTTCATGAATTCGTATCTAGTGGTGTTGGATATCAATTTCGTCATGAAAACGTCAAGGGCTATTTCACTTCTATCTTCTGTGTTCAGTACTCCCAGCTTTTATTCAGTTAGACATCGTATCTTAGCGGAGTGTTAAAACTTCCTTTAGCATATAATGCATCACATTATCGAAAGTAAAATAGTGAAGTCCTACCTGTAAAGTTAGTGTTACCGATTACAAACTAGCTCTTTTTTTTGACTCCTGGCGATATTCCTTTTAACAACCCCTGTAGCTTTCTCGATCATCATCATTACTTGCTCTTTTAGTAGTAAGAGTGCTTGTAGATGATTTCCTTACAATCGCACATGTTTCATACTCTTCGCTTGTGTAACGCATGGACGACCAATGTAATTTTTATGACGACAAACAAGAGGTAAGAAACAAGTGATGATACAAATAGAAAGAAGTATTTTGTATTTTGTATTTTGTACGAAAACAAGCCAGAGAAAAGAAAAAAAGCAATGGCTCACATAGCAAGAAAAAATATTTTTCTTCTCAACTAAGATATAACTCGATATGCGCTCAGCTTCACCACGTGGACGCATACAAGGTGACAAATTCCAAAACAAAATAAAATGAAAGAAAAAACATGTCATTGAGAGATAGAATCAGCCATGTAGAAGTCCACGATTCTTTCGGAACGTAAAAGCTTATAGCTTTCTTTTTCATTGGTGTTAGTTGACGCTCTGCTGCTTTCACCATGTGACTAAGATACAGGAGAGGCTTGATCTAAGCTAATAAACTAGGATTTCACGAGTAATCAATTACTAATGCTATCATATATGAAAGGAAAAGAGAAAGTAAGAAGTTTTAATTTGAAGTTTGTTGTCAGACTATGCTTCGCTTTTGTACTATCATTTTCCACTCATTTTTCGTCATCTTCCTGGTGATAGGCTAGCGTTTTTTATGTCATATCTTTTTCTACTTTGATGATTTGAAGTATGAAATATTTGCAGTATTGTATTCAATTTTACATCGTGAAAATGACTCATATGCAACCATATTTTTTTCTAGTGTATAAGTATCATTTTGCCTGAGATGACCAATCGCTTTGCTTCGTGAAACTCACACAAAAGTTATCCAATCGACAAATGTCAATTGGAATCTTACCACTAATTGCTGCGGCAAAGTTTTTAAATAGTGATTGATGATAATTTCTTAAATTAACATTATTACAATTATAAGCATTGAGTTAAATAGCAAACGAAACTGTTACATATATCCTTTACTTAAACCCAGTTGCTAAGGCATGTAATTGTGAGGGAGAGAAGCCGGAAAAAATTAACTTAAAACATACACTGACTCTTTACTTTGAAAACGCATTTGAGTTTCACAAAACTAGTCTGATGACTTACGAACGTGCCAATAATCTATTCCCTTTTCTGACAAAAAGAGTAATACGGCAGTAAAATATGCACAAATGCGTTTGTCTAGGCCGATCAGAACACAGCATGACCTAAATTCAAAACAATAACGTTTACTAGCTGTTGAAAACTTTGACCAAGGATTATTTTTGATGCCGAATCCGAATCCTGGGTGAGATTTGACACTAATATGAATATTAAGTGTCAAATAATAATTATTAGTGATTAAATATTAATAATATGTTGAAATAGATTAGCAGTTAGTATTTAATAAGAACAGATACTGTCCATGTCAAAAAAGACGAAAAAAAATCTGATTTTAATCGATTTTAATTACTAGAATTTTTCACTGGGTACGATCCGGAAATATACTCAAAATAGGTTCGATTTCATCTGCCTGATTGCTTTCTTTATTGAGGCTTTTCTTTTGCTTGAGCTGATTTTCGAGAGATTTTTTTCTAGAAAGACAAACATGTCAATCGATGAAAATTATCCCATTGCTACACTCTTTGGCCAATATTCATACAGAAGAGCGAATATAATGTCTTTTATGAAAAAATTCGCTGTATTGCATGCAAAAACTCAGTACGCTTCTCCTATTCTCTGCATAAGGACTTTTTTCTTTGATGTTTAATTCTTAGATTTCAATTGAATACATTGAGATTCGAATTGTTTTTTTTTTTGATATGTCAATATTAGTCAAAAAAAAGTCTATTAGAAGTTCTTGGATTCGCTGCTACGTTATCTTCATAACAGTGAAAATTATGTTGTCTACTACTAAAACTCTTGATGAATTGAAAGCATTGGAAAAGTCATTCTGTTTGACATGGTTTCCAGTAAGACTATTTTACATGTAAGAGCTACTTCAATCAAGACAATCAATTGCGATATCCTGAGTGACATCAAGTGGAGCTCTCTTAAAGATACTTCTTGGTCATAAAAATGCCTAATGGCCATGTTTCGTCGTTGTTTTTGTTGTTGTTTATGGCTACTCATTGCTCGCTTAACTTTTATTTTATCACTAGTCTAAGAATGTTGAAAACTAGATATACTTACATGGTAGGTGATACTGAAGTATACGAGGTTTTTTTGTGTGGTCGCAATCGATTTTATTCTATATTTATCACTGAAAAAATGGCTTTGCTTTTCCAACTTATGTATGTTTACGTGAATCAATGCAGTATGGCATTTTCATCAATGTGCTCATCATCACCTATATTTCGTTCTTTCAATATCCTGCTTCTTTTTTTGCTTTAATTTATGTTTCATGTTGTTTTGATGAGAAAATGTGCAACGGTATTTGCATCAGAAACAAAAACGAACCGAATTTGAAACCCTTCTTGAAAAATGATGCTGACTTGAACTGTAGTCGAACTAATTTTCAAAAAGTCAATATGTGCAAATGATTTAAATTGAAGAATGTTATAATCTCAGATGTAGTGAAATAAAATACTTTTAATTGTGAGTCAAACTTCTTAATAAATATTCCACCTGCAGAACATTGTAAATGACATAGATCAAAATTGATGTGTCAAATAAGGCAATACCATGGTCTCTTCTATTCTAATATCTGGATTCTAAATACAAATTTGTTGACAATTTAAATAACGTTATTTAGCTGTGTACGAAAGCATAAGGATAAATTCATTGAGAGTTATAGTGATATGAATATTTAGATATTCAATAGAATTTAATTAGTTTTCTACAAGTAAATGGCAATGTAACAGGTGCTCTTCATGACCCATAAAATAGTTAATTATATGTTAATTAAAGTAAATGAAATATTAATTGATAAACACCGTCGAAAGATTCCAAACTGCCACCAAGAGAAATGCTCGATAGGTACAAATGAAATAACGAAGCTAGTTGTATAAGAGGTAATTGAAGTGTGGGTGTGGGTGTGTCTGTGGTATATCTATGCAATACCCAAGAAAAATCCTTGGTTGAAAACTCTATTCAGCGAGACTATTAAAAAATTGAGGTGGTGTCGAAGAATTGAGATATTAACGAAATTCTCTGGGGTGTTAATCGAGACAATTGTGTGAAAATTACTTTAATAAAACCTTCAAAAGTTAATTGTTCACCCACTTTTCTCTTTTGATAACACTCTTTTACGAGTAGCGATCGTTAAAGTTTGAATCGATGGATCGATCAAGATTCAAATGCAAGAGTTTTGACTATCTTATAAGCCGGCTTTACATATTCATCACACATCTGTCTAGCGACATCTCGATCTAAGTTTCTTTTTTCTTTTTCTTGTTGATTTGTGTCTCTGAATTCGATTCTTCAAAAACCCATTCTCTCTACTTATGAAGGTGAGCGGATTCTTACGAGTAAATGCTATATATTTTTAAGATAAAGACAATCAATAAATTACCATTTATTTTGACAGTAGTGAATATTATTGCTCTCAGTGTAAAATTTCCAATCCAACAGTTTTTACAAAAGAACATGTTAATGGTTAGGTTAGTGTCTGAAGATCATTTGTTCTTCGAAAAGTCACATTTGATTTCAAACAGCTTTAGATACTCAATAATATCTATGTGTTTTGATCTTGTTCAAACGGATGCGCCGCCGATGACCTATAGCTAATTGGTAAAGTCGCCAAATGATTGTGGTTAGGTTTAGTAGAACACTTGCAGCATCAATTCGATTTTCAGTAGCTTGATCAGTGTCTAGCAAAGATTGTGTTAACACTTCAAAATCACGATCGATCATGATGCTAAATGCCCGCCTGTCGTACGAACAGAATTTTGTGCAAGCCTCCGTGATTGTATTTTTCAGATCAACTCGAGTTTGAACAAGCCGTAAAAAAGCTAAGACAGACATCTCTTTTCAAAAAAAAAGCATTTTCAATTTATTCAGAAACTAATAACAACAGTATTACTGAAGCATTGCACTGCGTAAAAAAATGTGTTCTATCTGAAACGAAACAGTTTTGAGTATGTTGTACTTTGCCGAAATACTATCTCTTGAGAGAAAAACACCCTTATCGAAGTCTCCGAAATGTTTCATCGATAGCTTTTTTCTCATCGAAACTAGAGTTTCGATAAAGTACAACATACCCAGGACTAATTTTTTCTCTGTTTACAGAGTAGAGCAAATGGTTCTAATGACAATGAAAAATTGATTAAAAACTTTACTCAAATGAAAACCATATCAATCTAATAATTTTCATGAAAATAGTTCTGTAATATTCAAATCAGAATAATGACGATCATCAGGATTCAAGACATTATCAGTGTATAATATCGATGTCGTATTCTTCACCTAAGTAGTATTCTTGCTACTAGCATCTTTACAAACTTCTATTGATGGATCATAAAGTTCTGCACTATTAAACTCAGACAAGCCATCGAATCCACCAACCACTAAAACTTTACCATTTGTTAATACAGATGCAGTGTGAGACTGTCGTTCAGTATTCAAACTTATGGTTTTTGTCCATAATCCTGTTGATGGATCGTATAATTCTGCGCTAGAAAGAGAATGTCCATTAGTACCACCAACAACCAACACTTTTCCATTTGTTAATACAGATGCAGTATGAAAAATTCGTGCATCATGCATGCTACCAGTGATTATCCATGACTCGGTCGATGGATCATATAATTCTGCACTACTTAATGTACCAATGGGATGCTTTCCACCAGTAACTAACACAGTTCCATTAGCTAATACAGATGCAGTGTGCCACATTCGTGCATCGTTCATGCTGTCAGTCTTGGTCCATAACCCTGTTGATGGATCATATAATTCTGCACTAGAAAGTATCTTATCATCTAATCCACCAGCAACTAGTACTTTTCCATTTGTTAATACAGATGCAGTGTGCCGATGTCGTGCAATCGTCATGTTGCCAGTCTTTGTCCATAGCCCTATTGATGAATTATATAATTCACTCGTTACAAGATGCTCTACATTTTGACCACCAGCAATTAGGGCTGTTCCATTTGCTAATGTAGATGCAGTGTGCTGCCATCGTGCTGTAATCATGTTTCCAGTATTTATCCACGACCCTGTTGATGGATCGTATAATTCTGCACTTGCTAACTGATCAAAACCCTGTAGTCCACCAGTAACTAGCACCTTTCCATCTGTTAATACAGAAGCTTTGTGATGGGCCCGTTGACTACACATTTTGCCAGTATTCGTCCACACTCCTGTGGATGGATCATACAGTTCTGTAGAAATATCTAAAGAGTCATCGAAAGGTCTACCACTAATTAAAACCAATCCATTCTTTAAGATGGATGCAGTGTGATAATATCGTGTAGTATTCATGTTGTCTGTGTATAACCAACCTAGAAAGAAGCAGCAATGCTTGAGTCATGTGATTTGCACGTGATATCTATTCATGATTCTTATGAGAAAAAGATTGAATGATATGTTACTTTACAATCTTGCTTAAATTGCAGACAATATTGATGCATATTTTTCCTAATCGAAGGAATAAACTGTCGAAAAGATAATGCACCCACAACAACAGAGATCTTGAACAGATATAGGATTAGCAGTATCAACACACATCCCAATATCCAAAAATAAGCACTTGTGTGAAGCTCTTTGTTCGTGTATAGAGGTTTCGATTTTTCGAGCTAACAGTGGCTTTATGACTTTGATTTTCGAATTGAAAATTATCTTATCAGAAATTCAGTAAAACTAACTTATCTCGTGCAAAATATCCCAGTCAGTTGTAGCACAGAAAAACATTCGTTAAGGCAATGGCAGTCGAAAAAAATTACCACTAGCCATCATTTCAACAAGTTTTGCCACTATGTTCAAGCTTCTCAACAAATTCCTGTTTCGAAAATTAAATGATAGTATGATTTAAGAGCCTGAACTTCATCATGGATGTCGACCATCAGTTTCGGTAGAGCAATGGAAACTGTAAGGGTTTTGGAAATAGAAAACTGATCTAATTTACAGTCTAAGTTTTTCGTCAAGTCAAAGTTTTGACCAAAAAAAAAAACAACAGTGGAGTATGAAGTGATTAAAAGTTGTCAAACATGAATCCAGTTTCAAAAATATTGTCAGATATTTTGTTGGGATACTCTCACTCAATAGAGAAAATAAAAAATGAGGAGCTTATAATACGATTTTCTTCTTATTTTTTATCAAGAGTCGAGATGCGATTTTTTTTCTTTAATGCACTTTAAAGTACAATGGGTTTCACAACTGATCAATAAATAGAATGAGTTTTTATGGTGAGTTCATATCTCGACAATAACATCAGTCATCATGGCTTGGTTTCATCCATATTGCACTCATTAGCATATACTATATGTATGTACACAACAATTGGAATCGAATCATCCTTCTCTTCTTCAGTTACTGAGCAAATAAGTAAAGGATGGTTTTTTCAATTGTTCCTAAATTGATCAAACATTTTTCTTTTATGATAGTCTATGCGACTATTTTAACTTAGAATTCTATTTATAGCATAAGATTGAAAAGTTCAACTATTTCTCTACACATCGAACCAATTTTCATTTCAACATCCTTTTAAAAAATTGTCGATTATGAATAGTTTTCATAGAATACTAGGAATTCTTAATAAAATAACATGCATTTTATTTGAGTTTTCGATTGATTTTCTACAAATCTGTATAAACGATTAAAAAAACGAAGATAATCACAAACGATTATGTTTGGAAGTTTGATGCGTAGCAAAGAAAAATATTTTCTAAAACGGTACTTTGTTCAAAACTTCGAAACAAAATTGATCATTCGTTTTTTATAAATAGCTCTAAACCATCACCATTCTATGGTGTCTGGAGTATTTATTGTTTCAATGTGAATAATGTAAGACATATGTTAGCATCTAAGGTAATCAGAATTCATAGAATTATACATTGCTCTCATATCAAATTAAAACCATTAATTGAGAAGCCGCTTTCAGATCCTTTTTGACAATTTTAGCTCATATCACACAAATATAAAAACTACTAAGATTCTATGCTTGTTAAGCGATAGAGTGATCTAAAAAATTCATACTGAATACAATCTTTGAAGTTTCACATTGATATAGTAGTTATAAGCTTAAGTTGCCAGGAAAGATCGGAAGCGGTGTCTTCATTATTAGTTTTAATTTGATATGAGAACAAAGAATGATTCTAACAATTCCGATTATCTTATATTCTAACATATGTTTTAGATTTTTCACATTGAAATAAAAATACTTCAGACCATCAACTGATGACTACTCAGAATTATTTATAAAATTTGAATGATTAGTTTTCTTTCGAAGTTTCGAACAATTTTTTAGCAAATTAAATCGTTTATACACAATCAATCGAGATATATTTTTTGATATAAATCATGAGTTAGTGCAATGAAATTTTACAAAGTTATGAGCAAAATTATGAGAGATCGATTCTTTATTGGTTATCTGTTAATTGCCATGGTCTTTCAGATGACATCTGAGAAATTAAGAATCAGTTAGAAGTTAAAAGAAAATACATGTGATGTTATTCTGTATTTTTAGTATTCTTTGAAAACTACCTATAACCAACAATTTTTCGACAGAATGTTGAGATAAAAACTACTTCAACGTGTAGATAAACATTTGATCTTTTCAATGGTACATTATAAAGGAAAATTCTGAGTAAAAAATAGTCGCGCAAGTTGTCATAAAAGTAAAAAGTTGATCGATTTTGAATCTGTTGTACGTGAGATACTGAAAACCAATCATATCTCGTCTCAGAAACAATAATATTTTAAATTGGAATCACACTCATTTCATTTTTCATGTCTCTATCTAATAAAACAGCTTCCCATGTCATCAAAATCGCATTACTTTTGGCGATTAATCGGCGATTCTGCAACAAATTTCACCAACAAGTACTCATTTACAAAAATAAGTGTGCTTTTTTTTTCAGTTCAGTCCAATATCTCAATACACAGTAAATAATACTCAATAAAAATAATTTTGTGTTTCTTTATTGAGGTCATTCTATCATCATCATAATGAACGGGTAAGTGTTATGGTATAAGAATATGTTCTTTTCTTTTATTTAGGTCATCTGTTTATCTCACTGACACGTGAGTATTATTTTATTCAATTTTTTTCTCATTTAAATTGTCTGAACACCTCAATGCACAGTAAGTATTATTTTATAAAAATTGAGTATTTTTTTATTTAGATCGCATGATGATCATAATGAATGGTAAATATGGAATAATAAAAATGAATATTCCTTTTTAATTAAGGTCATCTCAATGAAGGGTAAGTGTTTTTAAAAAAAATAGATATCTTTTTTTTTCGTTTAGATCGTCTGATCATTTTAATAAACAATAAATATTAATTCATAAAAAATAAATAGGTTTTCTTTTATGTACGGGATGTGTGGATATGTATTTCATTCTTCTCTAGTCGCACATTCACATCCGCACCATACATTTCCGTACTCACCCCCAAACCCAACATCCACACCCCTTTGACGAAAAACGTAGGATTCCGCTCCACTCACCAAACCGAGAATCTTTGTTCCATTACTAGTAGACAGAATGCTCGAGTACATGTGATTGCAGACTTTTATCTGGTCTAGAGTATAGTTTGATCTGAATACCATCAATCAACTCGACGCAACGAGATGATTCTCTAATTTTTTGTCAGACTTTGATATCAAATCAGAAAAAGCTTACATGGAAAGGTTGTTGCTGTTGTAATCATGGTTGTAGTCAACGTTGTTGCTATTGTTGTTGTTACTGTTATTGTTGTTGTTGTTGTTGTAATTGACTCTATTATGCAAAGAAGAAAAAGACACTTAAATAAGTATATCAATTAGCAACATAATAGTTGGTAAGAAAGCCTTGATACATTTTGAAGTTTTTATATTTGGTTCATGATTATATTCGCCATAATAAGAGAATTCGAAATCATCAAGATATTTTACAATTTTCTTTTCAATTGGAAAGATAATATATAAAAAATCATTTGAACTTTCTGATAGATTTTCAGGGACTTGCTAAGCTATGCAATCTTTTCATGCAAGTTCTTTCATTACATTCATTTTCGAGTGTCATGAACTATCAGAATGCAATAAACTTCGACGTATGATGCGTTGCCAAAATTGGCACTTTCGACAGAATCTAGGAACGGCAATCTTGGTACCAGCAAACGATACCACTCAAAATTATTTAATGAAAAACTCAAAACATTACGCCTGATATTCTTTTGATTATGCATAGCAATGGAGAAGCTGACATTTTGTGATCAAAACTAAACCAATCTAGTGACATATTTATCCCTACTATGGAACTAATGTCTCATTTTGTGCAAAATAATTATCGATAATATTTGAAAATAATACGATCAACATAGCTATAGATTGAAGATTTCTGAATAAAATAGATGTTATCCTATGATCTATTTAAATTTGTTTTTAGACAATTAAAACAACAATGAACTCAAGAGAGAATTTAGTACACACAACCGAAGATCTTAACCGATTTGTTTTATTTCTTCATTGTTTTTGTATCTCATCAAATGCTGTTGGCTTACATAATTTTACCATATTTTAGGCAAATTTGACCGAGATGTGATCGATTCAGCTTCTTTGCAATGTGGCTCATTGCAATCTATGAGAATGAATCTTTTTGTCTCTGTCAAACACCCATCGCGGAGTTAGAAAACTCTGTTACCTTTTATGAAAATATCACTGCAATATTTTTATCAGAGGGATGAATGTTTTTCGAAAAATTTACGATTTCTCTCATACATGAAAGAAATGCAGGTAGCTTAACTCACTAATTAAATCTTTTGATGAAATTTTCATTATGTACTGCTATATTCTGAGCGTTGCTATCTTATAATTTTCTACTCATTTGACCGAAGTATGTCGAAATCTGAAATACTTGCCACATCATTTATGCTATTGATAGAAGGTGCTTTTTCTCGTTTCAGATCTTCAACTTTTCTTTACAGTTGCAAACATTTGTCATGATTATTTCGTTTAAGTTTTCTCATTCTAAGTACACTCTGATGTATATTTCTGATAATGTATTCCTTCTGAAATTGTTCCAATAACGTTTTAGCCAATGAAGACTTAAAATATGATCTGGATCCAGCTGATGCATAGTTTTTGATACTTCAACGACAATCATTCAAGAATTCGAAAGAATTTTAAAGGGCAGAGATTTTTTTTAATATTGTGCCTTCTCGATAAAGTATAACACTGAAGTATCGCTTCGTAATCGTTTGAAATGGCAAAACATCTTTTGAGTTCTTGAATAATTGGCATTGAAGCGTCAGAAATTATGCGAAAGCTGAATGTGGATTA